CTTCCATGTCATAAAGGCTTAGTCAGCCTGTGTTGCCCTAACACATGTCCATGTCCTGTGTCCCATGTCCTGTGTCCTGTGTCCCATGTCCATGTCCTGTGTCCCATGTCCTGTGTCCTGTCTCCCATGTCCATGTCCCATGTCCCATGTCCTGTCTCCCATGTCCCATGTCCTGTCTCCCATGTCCTGTGTCCTGTTTCTGTGAGTGCTTTATATAGTTAAGGTCCAGGGGTTGTAAGTCTTTTGTTCAGTCTATGTAGCTCTGTAGTCAATATACCTCATGCATGCTATACCTTGCAATGCATGTATTTAATATATTATATGTTGAATATTTGGGGATATGGGTTAGAGGTAGGGTTTAATAAGGGCCAGGGTTAAGTAACCCTCAGCCTCCTAGGGACCTGCACTGCCGCAGTGGAAGCAGATTTAGTTCCACTTGGAATTTTGGACTTAGGGTCCGGATTTACTTCCTTCCTCCCACGTGGTGCCACGTGAACCACGTGCTTTTCGCGCGTGGCTTTGCCCCCGGCTTCTTCATATTTGCTTCACTATATAGGATTGTAATGACGTCGACTCTTGGACTGTTACATGAACAATAACGATCTAGAACTGCTGGCACAGGTATGTATGTCCGGATTGCGTGGCCGCCGTGCGGGGATTGCGCCGGCGGGGTGGGGCCTAACTCCGTGTACCAGGGAGTACTCATAGTAGCAATGTTGAGCGAGGCTGTCGTTCTTGTTCACACTACAAAACAGAATCAAACCAGTAGTGTTCAAGCTAAGCATACGGCATCCTCGAAGCTGACTGGTCCGGCCGGCGAGATCGACCCGTGAGGCGAAAAGACTCGTCCGTCAACTGGTCCGGAGAAGATTAGAGAACTGTCGTAGCGTTGTCGCCTCGGTCGGAGACTTAGAGAGGTCCTGGGCCTGTGTAGTGAGCCCAGCGCATCACGCAAGATTGACACGGGGCCAAGTTGCTCGATTATCTATTTCTACAGCGTCAGCATCCCCCACTGGTCAGACCAACCATCCCCTACACTCTCCTCTGCCCTTACCCATCGCTTGCGGCCACTGAACTACAAATCTACCCGCCAGTCAGTCTATCACCTAACAGGGAACACAGGAGGAGAGGCGTACCGGTCTACGAATGGCCGCACGAGTTTTGCACTGAGCGACAGAGAGGAGACGCGGGCGAAGGACTCGACGTATATCGTTCTCGGTGCTGGGAGTGCCAGGAACTTCGGAACGCACAAGATGGTTAGCAGTGGTACATATGAGCAAGGAGGAGCGTACTTTGCTTGTGTACACTGCTGCGAGGAGGGGCACGCATGTTCCTGGTCCATTAAGCAATAGCAAGTCGGAACATGCCTGCCCTCTCAGTGCAGGACGTATGCTCAGCTCCCACACAGCTACAACGAGGCTCCATATAGCCGTAGGTGGGGTAGCCCAGAACGGCTGGTGTACTCTCCTAGCTCGTGGTAGGACTAGAAAGGTGTGTTGCTGCGCATGTGGAGGGAGCGAAGGTGCGAGGGAGGATTCGAGAGAAGTTGCTTTTTGGATGGAGAGGGTATCGAGGGACGAGGTAATGTACAGCCTTGGGTAGTAGCGTGTGAAAGGGAGTGCACGGAGCAGTTGCAGTGACTCGGAGGTATGTCCACCTATGCGTGGTGAGCGGGGAAAAAGAGCGGGGAAGGAAGGGATAACGGACCGGAGCCGAGGAAGACGGCGAGCTTGGATGGGCCTGTGCGGGGTTTGGGCCTGTTTGGGAGGAGGATGGCGTATGCCCGGACGGGGATGACGATGAGCACGAGGAGGAGAAGTAGGGACAGAAGGGAGATGACCATAGTATGACGGTGTTACTGACGTTATGCGTCCATCTGGGGTATCAAAGTAAGCGCCCAAGAGGGGGTCAGTACTAGTGGTCGTCAAGGGCGGATCAAGCTAGCGCCCATGGTTGACGTGGCAAGCCCGCGTCTGCCCGTTGCTCACGTGCCTTGCGTTTTTCCGCTCAGGCCCGCTGCACTGCCACGTCTCACGCCGCCCCCTTGAGTGGCGATATCGTCGGCTGTATAAAAGGGATGGCGACGCGTGCCCCAAAACTCCCTTTGAAAAACCCCCGGGAAACGCGCCACTCAAAAATCGCACCGGCGTTACTTTAATACGGCAATAAAGGTCCCTTATTGCTTGACTTTTGTTATCACTGTCTACTACTGGTTACTCCTTTTCATGGGCTTATGCTTGTGAATTAGCTGCACAGATGTGCTCAATACACGTATCATATCGTCTACCCAAACAACATCCACACCCACCAAAACACATCACACGGTAATCCCATTCATTTCACAAATGGCAGCACCACGCACTCCCACCCTCGTTCACCCAACACCATCCCTCCCGTTCCCTATCCGTATCACCCTCATCCTCACACCGTCGGGATCACATATCCCGAGGGGAACGAATATCCTGTATTACGAGTATGCATCACATGGCGTCGAGGTTGGCGAGGGGAACAAGAAGGGCGAAACGAGGACGGGCGCTTGGGAGTGTCCCGTCGAGGGCGAGGTCGTCAAGTGGAGAGTGGGGAAGGGACAAGTCATCAAGGATGCTTCGTACGTTTTTCCTCTTCACGCCTCTTCACGTATGTACAACAAGAAACTCATTCGCTACCCAGGAAACCGATTGTGGAGATCCTTGAGCCATGCAGACATGAAGAGCAAGTGAACGGGCTCTGCCTCATCTGCCTCAAAGACGTCTCCGGTATCGACTACACGGGATTTAGCGACACCTCCCGCGCCACAGTCGCCATGGTACACGACGCGGCGTCGATCACTGTTTCCCCCGAAGTGGCCGCTCGGTTAGAACACGAGAGTCAGATCCGCCTGCTGGGGAGCAGGAAGCTCAGTCTAGTTGTCGATCTCGACCAGACGATCATACAGGCTACTGTGGACCCTACAGTGGGGGAGTGGATCGATCAGGGGCGGGCGTGGGAGGAGGGCAGGGAGGGCGCGAGGAAGAACCCGAATTGGGAAGCGTTGAGGGATGTGGGAAGGTTCAGGCTCAGCGAGGAGAGAAAGGTCGTCAATGGCCGAGGGGGGAAGGTCATCAGGTCCAAGAGGGAGGACACAGCGTATTATATCAAACCTCGGTACGTCTTCTCCTAATGCAAGTATATGCATGCTCATGCATCATGCAGACCGGGATTGCACGCCTTCCTGAGTCGCCTATCGGAGCTGTACGAAATGCACGTCTACACCATGGGCACGCGGTCGTACGCGTCTCAAGTAGTGCGACTCATCGACCCCCTCGGCAATCTCTTCGGCTCCCGGGTCCTCTCACGAGACGAATCCGGCAGTCTGACATTCAAGAACCTCACTCGGCTCTTTCCGTGCAACACGAGCAGCGCGGTGATCATCGACGACCGCGCGGACGTATGGGATCTCAGCCGTGCGAACCTGGTAAAGGTGGTACCGTACGACTTTTTCAGCGTGGGGGATATCAATGCCACTTTCTTGCCTGCCTTGGCACAGAATGGTACCCCTTCTTCATCACCTAGTCCTGGTCCGACGAACACCACCGTCCCCCCCTCTCCTACTCTGGCAGACGAAGAACAGCCGGCAGACCTCATCCCCACCGTCGCGCTCGCCCTGGAGGAAGCGGAAGAATCAGAAAAGGAAGAAAAGCAGAAAGCGGCGATGGAGTTGCTCCAAGAGGAGAAGCTGGCCAAAGATAGAGAAAGCCGGCCGCTCCAGAAACTGATGGAAGAACTTGAGAAACGGGAGGCTAGGGAGCGGAGCGAGCGAGCTAGGAGCAGGGAGGGCAGCTCTAGAGGCAGCTCCAGGGAGCGCCAGGCGGAGGGGGAGAAGGAACCCCAGGAAGAACAGGCGGTTAATGGACACGTCTCCTCTGGAGGGGAGAGTCCGACCAGTACGGCCGTCCCTGGGGAAACGGAGGAGGAACCGGTTACGGAGCGCGCGCTGCTCACCAATGATGATCATGAGCTGTCGCGGGTGCTCAGGGTACGTTGATTCCTATGTTTCGAGTGAGGAGGCTGCTGACGCATAATAGATCTTGGAAGAGATCCATCGCCGGTATTTCCAACAGTACGACCTCTACGTCGCCGACAAGAACACACGCAAGGAGCCGTCCGTGATGGAGATCATACCCGAGATGAAAGCCGAGGTTCTCTCCGGTGTCCATCTCGTATTCTCCAGTCTCATCCCTATCGACATGCCTCACCAGAACACGGACCTATGGCGTCAAGCACTCCAGTTCGGCGCTGCCTGCTACACCCGCGTAGCGCGCGAAGTCACCCACGTTGTCGCTGCTAAACGGGGGACGGAGAAGGTCCGCCAGGGGGTGGCAAGAGGATGCAAGATCGTGAACCCGTATTGGTTTATGGATTCTGTTGCTGCTTGGGAGCGCAAGAAGGAGGAGGAATACCCGCTTGAAGGGATGGAGGGTGCTTCTCCTGCCAAGGAGGGGCTGCCTGAGGAGGCCGCTGGGACGCGCTCGCCTTCCCCACCTACCATCAATGGGAATCATGAGAACGCGCCGTCGGAGAACGGGGATGTGGGGGTGCGTGATGGGGAAGATGGTATGGGCGCTGGGGACGAGCCTGGGGAAGGGGAGGAGGATTTGGGAGAGGATGTGGATCTCGGAGAGTTGGATTGGAACGAGATGGATGCAGAGTTGGAGGATCTGATGGAAGAAGAAGATGGGGACGACGATGACCAGCCCGAGGACGGGGATTACCCTGACGAGCCTGAGGAGGAGAGCGAGGCTGCTGCGCGTGCCAGGGGGAGGAAACGGAGGCGGGCTGAGGACATTGAGACCCCCGCGGAGTCGGACGATGAGCACTCGGCCAAGCGCCGCAAGAGGCGGGACGAAGGCTCTCTTGTTGGCAAGGCGGACGAGGGGATCCTCCAGGCTAGCCAGATGGTCGATGATGACCCCAATAATGGGCATGATCTGGCTGATGATGAGAATGATGAGGACCTGGATGATTTCCTTGCTCGGGATCTGGAGGGGATGGAGGATGAGGAGGATGATGGGGGTGGGGATGAGGGGGAATAAGGTGATCAAAACTTGAATTCTGTGGCCTTTTGTATTGTATTCATTGTTATACCCGGCTGGTTACGTTTATATCCTGTGTTCTCTTCGGTGTATCGCAGTTGGAAATTCTACACGCAAAGGCACTTTGAGCGACCAGATGATTACTGCCTAGAGCATGCAGGACAGGGACGTGACGTGATGAACGACGCGTCCATCGTCGCGTGAACTTTGACTTTCTCTGAACGTTGTCTGCACCCCAAGATGGGACAAGCACTAGCCATCTTCACGCAAGCATATACTGAGGGGTTCCCTCCGAAAAGTAGATTCATGCCTGAGGACATCCCGGATCTGAGCGGGAGGGTCGTGATCGTCACGGTACGCTACGACTATAACGACGTGCTCGTACTGACGATACTTAGTAGGGCGGCAACAGCGGGATCGGGAAGGTAACATGAAAGGTAATGCTGTTTTGTGCTTCTGACATCTATATCTTATGAAATATCAGTATCTTCTCCTGAAGAACGCCCGGGTGTACATGGCCTGTCGCTCGCGGGAGAAAACGCTCGCAGCGATCGAAGAGCTGAAGGAAACGACAGGGAAAGAAGCGCAGTTCTTGCGGGTAGACCTAGCAGATCTGGAAAGTGTCAAAGCAGGGGCTGAGGAATTCCTGAGGTGCGCTTGCCCCCAATGCTTAACTTCATGAAGCTGACGAGTCCTCAGTAAGGAATCCCAGCTGCACCTGTTGTTCAATAACGCGTATGTACGTCTCTCGTGGGTGAGGCGTGGTCATTGAGCTCTACTTGATAGCGGCGTTATGGGTCCTCCCATGACCCAACTCACAAAACAAGGCTTTGACATGCAATTCGGTACCAACGTCATTGGTGCGTCTGAGGAGCTCATACCTCGCCTACCAAACTGACAACGGTGTAATAGGCCATGCGTACTTGACGATGCTCCTCATCCCTGTGTTGCTGAAAACCGCACAGCTGTCACCGCCTGGCTCAGTGCGGGTCATCAACGACAGTTCGCAGTACGCCTCACTTGCCGTTGTTTCGTTCTCCGCGCTGATGGGCGAAAAGGGTGCACATGGGTGCCTGGTGGGGAGGAATTGATTACGATACTCTACGGGACGGGCCGAAACGGAGGAAGATGTGGTTCATGCTAGCATACAACCAGTCCAAATGGGTATGTTGGGTTGTTATGAAACGCAGGCTGTAGAAGCTAATGCCAGCAAGGGCAATGTTGTATTCACGAAAGAGCTTGCGAGGAGGTACGGGGAGAAGGGGATCGTATCCATGTCGTTGAATCCTGGTACGTCGGTTTGTCGAGGTTGTCGTTATCACGCTGAACGATCGCAGGTGCTGTACGAACAGACCTTTTCCGACATCTGCCCAGCTGCGTGAAGTGTACTATTGTATGGTCATGTCCAGTGGATGTAACTTCATGGGCACAAAGATGATTCAGGGCTGGCTATTGCTCGATGCGGATCCGTATGGGGCGTTGACGCAGTTGTATGCCGGTACATCACCGGAGACTGCATCTGCGCATGGCAAGGTTTGTCTCCAGTTCATGACCGTGTAGGCATCGTGTTTACCTTGTACAGTATTTTATTCCAATAGCTGGGGAAGGGCAGCCCAGACCAGATACGGAGGACCACGAGGCAGGAAGGCGGTTATGGGATTATAAGAAGTTACGGCAAGCTGATTGCTGGCAAAATGTTTCACATCAGTGGCTTCTCAACAATGCCATGTGACGGTTCTATTGAACATCCCCACACTGGACGCCTTTCGAAAAGAATAAAACAGTACCACAATCAGGGTCACATTCCTCTACATTCGAGGAAATATCATGATTAATGGAAGCACCACATGGGTGACGTGTCCGACGATAACTACCCTCTGCACCAGCGGTCGCCCCATGTCGTTTCAGTACATCATCTACTTGCACATAGCTGATTCGCGCAGATGGGTCAAATGTTTTCGGAGGTGTTTCCTCCTATCCCGAAGTGGACGGTAGAAGAGATCCCCGACTTGAGCGGGAAAGTCGCCATCGTCACGGTGCGCAGAGACGTGATACCTCAATCTAACGCGCTGAGGCAATTTCTATGCAGGGAGGGAATACTGGTGCGTGATCTGGCAGAGCGGAGGTGAAAACAGCCTTATGAGACGTTAATGCAGGTATCGGGAAAGTGACATGCAAGGTGCGCCACTGCTTTATCCCACCTATAGAGCGAATAGCTGAGACTATATCAGTATCTGCTCCTGCACAACGCTAAGGTGTACATGGCCTCCCGCTCGCCCGAGAGAGCCGAGACAGCGATCGCAGACCTCAAGATGATCACGAAGAAGGATGATATCCACTTCATCAAGCTTGATCTTGCTGATCTTGAGAATGTAAAGGCGTCTGCCGCCGAGTTCCAGAGGTAGCGATCATCTTTGCGGGACGGGGCTAGGGAGCTGACGGAAAGATGCAGCAAGGAGAAGGAGCTGCACATGCTGTTCAACAATGCGTGAGCTCGGATAATACCTTCGGAAGGCGGTCTGCTGATTCCGATTGTAGTGGAGTTATGTCAACCCCCATGCATATGCTTACAAAGCAGGGGTTTGATATGCAATTTGGGACGAATGTTATTGGTGCGTATCCCCAGCGTTTTATACAAATATTGACAATGGTGAAGGACCTCTGTACTTCACCAAATTGCTCATCCCTACTCTACTCGAGACGGCTAAAACCACCCCCGGAGGGAAGGTCCGCGTCATCACCACCAGTTCAAAGTGAGTTCGGTGGTCACCAGGATATTCCTAGTAATGACAGCGGTTGTAGTGGGCATTACGGTGCATTCAAGGGCGGAATCCTTTGGGAAACGTTGAAAGATGGACCCGAACGCAACAAAAAGCTTTCCCGTACCACCGCGTACTTCCAGTCCAAATGGGTATGTTGTTATTCGTCTCCTCCGTCAGGGTCATAGGCGGCTCTTAATGGGTGAGCAAGGGAGATGTGGTCTTTGCCAATGAGCTTGCCAGGAGATACGGCGACCAGGGCATAGTTTCAACGTCCTTGAACCCCGGCCTTGTCGACACGGAATTGGGACGTTACATTCCCGCCTGGTTCGCATCCATGATGGGGTTTGTCGTATGTGTTTCTATCAACAGCCCCAATGTTCATGAACTGATGGAACACAGAAATTGATTTTGAACCGTGCTGATCCTGATGGAGCCATGACACAATTGTATGCGGGAACAGCACCTGAGACCGCGTCGGCCAACGGAAAGGTCAATATTTTGCCAAATATCTTATTCTAGGTCAATGATCTAACGCAGTATAACAGTATTTCATTCCTTTGGCACGCGAAGGCATTCCCAGAGAAGACACCCATGATGAGGGGATGGGAAAGAAGTTATGGGATTATATCGATGAAGTGACTGCAGATATCTAGCGCGACCACGTTCTCGACGAGCTCTTCTTCACTTGGGGAATTGGGACTATAGGTGCAAATACTGTAAATTCGGCGGCACTGGTTGAAACTGACCGGTGAAGAAACTAGTTATGTAAGGCAGAGAAGAGGTGTAGCTTGATGCATGACAGAACAACACCAATGTTGCTGTTCAACATGCCGACCACAGTTACGAGACACCCTCAGGCTAGGCCTAGGCCTTCGAAAAGAAAAGACAATGATAGGGTTTCAGGGTCGTTCGTTGCTGTCTGTCCGTCAATCATGTTCCTGCATCGGGCGCCGGGAAACCTGACCACCACGATGGGTGACGTGTCCGAGGATAATATCCATTCCACCAGCGGTTGCTTGATTCACGCCGTCCACTTACACGTAGCAGCAACGTCGTGGAGATGGGTCAAGCACTCTCGGAGTTGTTTCCCCCAAAGCCGAAGTGGACTGTAGACCAGATCCCAGACCTGAGTGGGAAGGTCGCAATTGTCACGGTGCGCACGGACTCAATTTCGACTCCTACGTCTCTCTGACGTGGTTTCTATGTAGGGAGGGAATACCGGTACGTGATCTGGCAAGGCAGCAGTGAGAATAATTCCTTAAGACTTGTCCATACAGGCATTGGCAAAGCGACATGCAAGGCACGTTGCTACAATCTCTCGCTTGCCAGGCGAATGGCTGACATTTCGCACAGCACTTGCTCCTTCACAACGCGAAAGTGTACATGGCCTCCCGTTCCCCTGAAAGGGCGGAAGCAGCAATAGCAGATCTTAAGACGATCACGAAGAAAGATGATATCCACTTCATCAAGCTTGATCTTGCGGATCTTGAGAATGTAAAGGCGTCTGCAGCCGAATTCCAGAGGTACGAAGCCTTCATGAAAGCAGCAAGTCGAAAATCTGACACAAAAACTAAGCAAGGAGAAGGAACTGCACATGCTTTACAATAACGCGTGAGTTGATGGCAATACCGGTTCAATAGACGGTCAGCTTATATCCGCCTAGCGGAGTGATGTCATGCCCCATGGATATGCTGACAACGCAGGGGTTTGACCTGCAGTTTGGGACGAATGCCATTGGTCCGTATCATTCGTTCTCTCCTGGCGCAGCTCCTGAAGATGGTGTAGGACATGCCTACTTCACCAAGCTACTCATTCCTACTCTGCTTGAAACCGCTAAAACCACCCCTGGAGGGATGGTCCGAGTCATCAACACAAGTTCGGGGTCGGTCTACGCGTCATTCGCGACATGTCAACCGTGTATTGATTTTGCGTCTAGTGGACATGTCGGTGCCCCCAAAAGTGGCATCCTCTGGGAAACGTTGAAGGATGGACCTGAACGCAACAAGAAACTTTCCCGCACCTCCGCCTACTTTCAGTCTAAGTGGGTACGATGCGCAGCTCAACTGTAATGGATAACTTCTGATGCGTGGTAAAGGCAAACGTCATATTTTCGAATGAGCTCGCCCGGAGATACGGCGATCAGGGGGTAGTTTCAACTTCCCTGAACCCTGGTGCTATTGATACAGAACTCGCACGCTATATTCCTAAATGGGCAGCACCGCTAATGATTCTCTTTGTATGGTTTTGTCATAAGTCGGCGCAATTCTCAGATGCTGACGATACTTGCAGAAATTGCTTTTGAGCCCCGCTGACCCTAATGGAGCCATGACCCAGCTGTATGCGGGAACGGCGCCCGAAACTGCTTCGGCTAACGGGAAGGTCAGTATTTTTTTCCCGAAATTCTTCTGCGTAAAGGAACTGACACAATGAGTTGCAGTATTTTATTCCGTGGGCACGCGAAGGGCTTCCCAGAAAAGACACCGATAACGAAGGCGCCGAAAAGAAACTTTGGGATTACATTGATGAAGTGACTGCTGGCATCTAGAATTTTCCATAGCCTGATGCGTTTTTGTTTACCTTTGCTCCAATATATTATGTATGACCCGCTCACTCATTTGCTGCCAAGACCGTCCCCACGGACGTCGGACTTTGCAGGTGCCGAAAGTGATCGTATTAACACCGCTCATATTTGGGACGCATCATGGAGTCCATGGCACGGCGCCCATTGCTTGGTGCCCCACTTGGTATTTGATGCACCAGACCGCGCCATCTCGACGCATTTAATACTAGTACTGACAGGATGGGGCTAACTTGGTCTACGATATTTCCGCGCTGAAACTGACGCTGAGGCCGTTTTGAGGTATCGGAAAGGTCACATGCAAGGTGTATTCTGACTCCAAGTCAGTTTCCTAACACGAATCTCCTCCTTTTCAGCATCTTATCCTGTACAACGTCAGAATGTGCATGCAATCCTGCTCCTCAAAAAATATCGAACGCAGCAGTCGAATGCCTCAAGCAGTTTACGAATAAAATTGATATGGATTTCCTCATTGGCAATCTAGAAAGTGTCAAAACACCCGCGGACAGTTTCAGAAAAGGATCCATTGTCTGCAAACAGCGTACCGAAAACCTGTTACACAAGGCGCCGCTCAATAAGGACAGGGAAACATCGTCTTTGCCAAGGAACTTGTGCGACGGTATGAAGACTCGGGCGTTGTGTCGACAGCTTTGAAGTCTGGGCCGATACGCACTGAAGTTAGATGATATTCGGCCCGATAGGCTTCGGCATATATTCGTAGGCAATTTGATCGACTAGTGTGAGAGGTTTGGTTGACGAGCGGTTGGAACATGCTGGTTGCCTATCCTGCGGATCCGAATGGGGCTATGATCTAGCTCTATGATGGCACGGCAACAGAGACTGCTGAGGAGAACGGGAAGGTATGCCCCAGGCATGAGCGCGCTGCTTTGATAACTGATGGATGACGGTAGGTAGGACTTCGGTCCCTGGGCGCGAGAGGGCAGGCCGAGATGAGGGAATGGACAAGAAGTTGTGGATTATGTGGACCGAGTCACTGCAGATTCGAGTTGACGACCCCGCTGGACTACCACTGTGTCAGACACGTTTGACACAAGCATGTATTCCGGTTGATTGGTCGCATACTTGAAAGAGGTTATGACAGAATTATGTTGATCAAATGGCCGATCTGAACGTGTCCGGCACAGTGTGCAGAACGGACCAGAGACAGTATACGCGAGGCGGGCACGTCCGTTGCGCAGTCAGAACGCGTCAGAGTTGTGCATTCTAATCCACGTTGATAACCAAGTCAGTCCAGATGGCCAGCGATTTATAAGCCCTGCTTGAGAGTGCATGTTGGCAGGTTGTATTCTGTCTTTCACGTGAAAAGCGGAAGCGAATAGGGTGACGTTAGACCGTGACCGATCGGGGCACCCGTCTCTCTCCCCAGCCAAAAAGCCCCTCACACGACCGTTTCCCCCCTATGCAAACTCACTCTCTTCCCCTAATTTTCTTGTAGAACTTCAGCATTCAATACGCATGGACAACATAACAAGGAATGGACAACATCGATGATGATGAGTTTCCGCCTTTACCACACAAGTCTAACATTACTCGGAACGGTCAGCGAAACGGAGCCCCGAACAAGGCGGGCCGAGAACGAGAAGCTCCGGAGCATGGACCTGTAACGAAGCACACGACTTATCCTCCTCGTCCTTCTTCATCTACTGGTTCGGCGTCCTCTCTCGCCTCATTATCCTGGTATAGCCCCTCCAAACCTAAGGCAAAACTACCGTCAAACGCTTCATCGTCTACTCTACCCGAAAAGGCAACGCTCAAGGACTGGATGGCTCGGATTTTCCCACCCTCTACGATGGGATCTATGCGCAAGGGGTCGGTACGCGTACCTCAAGCAGCGGTACTTCCTGCACCCTCACGAGCTCCCCGCCGGCTGAGCCAGAGCGGGAGCTTCTCCGGTTCTTCAGAGCGGCGATCCAATTCGAGCCAAGGACACAGGGGGAGGAGGGAGAGCAGTGAAGAACGCGAGATGATCAGAGAGCAGCCGGTCGTACTCCGCGAATCACCTAGGGCGAGCGAAGACCTCCAAGAAGCGCTGAGCGAAGAGATGTTCCCCTCCCCTTCTCACTCGCCGTCCACCTCCCCATCGCGAACTTCTCGCTTGCCGATACCAGGGGAGAGTATGACGCATATACACACCTCTGTGCATGTGCATATATCCACTCCTGCAAGGGCAAATGGTATAATCCGACCGGAACAAGCGCACCTCTCACCTGCGCGCAGCCCTCTCTCTCCACCACCACACGAGCTCACCCACCCACATCATGCGCACCACCCCCACACGCCACTACATGCCCGATACCAGTCTATCCGCCCCGAGCTGCTCACCAGTCTAACGCGCAGCACTCTCCCGACCGCGTCGCTCTCTCTCCAACCGCTCGAGCCTGTACACCTCACCAGCACGCCGAGCAACATGCGCCGCTCTACGTCCCTCTTTTCGCGCGCGGGGATGGGACTCGTCCCCCCTCCACAGCCGGTCGTGCCGAGAGGGAGTATCGACCAGCTTCGGATGTTGTACTCTACTCCTGTTAGGGAGGAAGTCGAGGGAGTGAAGAGTGGCTGGGAGTGGGCGGATTGGTGGAGGACCGGGACTGGAACGAAGGAGAGGGACAGGACGGCAGCACTTTTGGAAGAAGAGGATAGGGAGGCCGAAGCGCTAAGGAGCAAATGTGGGTGTTGCAGTTTATCGGAGGCGGGCGATGTTGATTAAATTGCTGTGCAGACAAGACCCCGCACTACCCGATGATCTTCTGCCACGGGCTACTGGGATTCGACGAACTTTCCTTGCCCCTCCCTGCATCGCTCGGTGCGATTTCCCTGCCCCCGATTTACCACTGGCGGGGCATTACCGACGTCCTATGCACGAACGGCGTCGAGGTGTACGTCATGCGCGTGCCTGCTACCTCTGGGATCCCCCAGCGGGCCGAAGTACTGAGGGAGAAGATCACCCAGAAATGTAAAGGAAAGAGAGTGCATTTGGTTGGACACTCGATGGGTGGGCTGGACTGTAGGTACCTGGCGAGCAAGCTCCAATGCGAGTTTGAGGTGCTCAGTGTTACCACTATCGTACGTCCCATTCTTCAACCAACGTCCTCGTGCACTAATATTCGTCTGCTAGTCTACCCCACATCGCGGATCCTCCTTCGCCGACTACTTCGTCCACGAGCTCATTGGCGCCGATCGTCTCCCGACCATCATCTCCCTCCTGTCCCTCCTCCTCCCTTACAGCGACGGCGACGGCACCGCCTTTTCCCAACTCACAACCACCCACATGGCAGCCTTCAACTGTCTAGTGCCGGACAAGCCTGGTGTGCAGTATTTCAGCTGGGGAGCGACGTATGAGCCTGGCTTGGTGGATAGCTTCAGGTGGCCGTGGGCGGTTGTCATGAGCAAGGAGGGGGAGAATGATGGACTTGTTAGTGTGGAGAGCGCAAAGTGGGGAGAGTATGAGGGGACAGTGAGGAACGTGAATCAGTGAGTTAACCCTTTGTTATTCGGGGTCTCGGCCTTGTTTCGCTCCTGTTCCTTCTCCTTTAATGCATCGGTCGCAAACTTGCAACATACTGACTTCCTCATGCAGCCTAGACCTTATTGGATGGGTGAACCCGGCGCGATACCGCTGGGCCGAATTCACAGGGAACAAGATCGAGTACCGGCCTGCCACGTTCTACTTGGGAGTGGCTAGTAGGCTTGCCGAGATGGAACAAGAGATGGAGCGACGCGAGCAAGAGGATGGAGGGGTTGACTGAGGGCCTTGCGCGCTGGATGGAGCTGGAAGAGAGGGTGAATGTTTAACGTAAGCTGAGATCACGCACTCTGCAATGTATAACTACTTGCATGTATGTACCGTACATACCATTCTTACTAATTACCGTATTCCTTTCTAGGAGTTGTTGCCGAATGGTATTCTCACCAACACCACAATTGTTGCGATATATTCGCCATTGTCATCACCCTGCAGGGTCTCGCCGGACCTCACTGGAGTCAGATGTCTGAAATGTTCCTTTGAGTGAATTAGCGCCCCTAACAACGAGAAGAACTAAGAACTTTAGAAGCCTCCACAATGGGTCTCCCCTGTTTGACCCCTCTTCACGCGCACGGAGTAGCTCCGTATCCGCTTTTTGGGACCCCGGGTGCACGTGCAAAGAGCATGTTTAACGCCCCCTGTAACAACTCGGCACAGGAGTCGGCCATTTACTTTATTTGACAGGTCAGGCTCCCCTGTCGCGCTTCTGTATGGCGGTGGCAAAGAGAAAAATACGAGGGTAAAATGGAGTCCCGCTGCCACCCACCACATTCAGCACATTCACCACTCACCTTTGTTCGGGGGTCCAGCAACGAACCTCACATGCCACCAGCGAGGACCTCGGCACACAGGAACGCACGGCGGCAGGCTCCCGACCGGAAGACCAAACAATTAACGGTTCGCACGGTTCGCGCGGCGGCGTGAGGCGATGGTCGGGCTCTCCTCTCATTGGCCAGCATGGTTGCGCCCGGACTTCCGATGATTAGTGGCTCGACCAACCTTGCTGCCTGTCGTCTGCCTGCTCGCCGCACGCACTCCATCAATCCTCTCTCGTTTCTCCTTTCTCACTTTTGCTCCTCTCTTGGCCTAGTCAATCATCTTTGGATTATAATAGCCGGATGGAGGGACCAATCAGGTATGCGCTACACTGCCGTAAACACGGAATCACGAGGAATCACGCATCATCTAGCTTGCTCCGTCCTGATGGATGGATGGCACCTGTCCCCTTGGGCGATCGCAGTACATCGCCTCCTCTGGAAGAGGTTACCCAACTGCCATCCACAAGTAAGCAATATTTTGTCACAGTTCGGAATAAATATTAACGAAGGTGGCTATTTCACCCCACAGGCTGGACACAAGCGCCCATTTTTGAGGGCGTTAACGGACGCAGACTACCCCTGGCTTCGTCGTTCTATCGCCACGCTGATGATAAACCTCTCAACACAGATTTACAAAAACTCCGTACCCCGGGGGTGCTACTGGGCCGTGGCTATCCTCGGATGGCATATCCTTCACTGGAATCCGTAATATGCAACCGGTCACCGCATCCCTCATACCTCAAGCCGCAACCTCAAGTTCTTGAACTCCTCCAAAAAGGGGTCCTGGTCATTACAGAATATTGTATCCCCTCCGCGTGTCAAGAAAGTTCAACATCGACATCTACACCAGGAACATCGGAATCACATTCAACTCCAGGTGAAGAGATAGAAGAGCCGCGATCTGAGCACGACAACCATGTGGAAGATGATACGGAACAGGGACTGGATTTACGGACACCGAACCTCATTCGACCTAGGCTGTCTCGCACTGCCGTGAACGTGAAGAAGAAACAAAATGGTGCGAACGAGATCCAGCGACCTGAGATGATCCGACCCATCCGGCCTCGTCCAGAACCGCCGCGTGCAGACCTCGGGGGTAAGCAATTTAGTGCGCTTCCATGTCCGGCATTCTAATTCACAGTAGATGAAGATCTATTAGGCTTAACCGACTCGACGGACCCTCGGATCCTGGAGGACGGTAGTGAGCTTCTTGGCACGGGCCCTCTTGGGATCATGAAGAAAGAGCGCGTGATGCTTTGCGGCATGTCCCCTCCAGGAGAACCGACATTGACCTGTGGTGTATTCGCATCCCATTTCCACGACCTCTACCGACATAGACTCTGTCATCTCATGTGGGAGACGAGGCTCCGCGAACGAGCTGAAATCAGGGGACAGCCGATCGATACGAGCAAGTTTGTTTTTGGCGGCTTCGAACCGAATTTCCCGACTTGCAAGATATGTGGTAGACGGTTCTCGCGATACGATTCGTTGCAGCGACATTTGGGAAAGTCAGGTTGCGGTGGGGTGGCGGACATTGACAAACACAAGGATGCTCAACAGTTGCGCCTTGAACGAATGGAACGGGAGCTCCACAAGAGCGAGACACTCCAGCATTGGATAAGGACGCCCGTTCCGAGACCCAAGATCGTCTGGGCCAAGGTGGCCTATACTGCTGGGATTGACGCTCACAGGGATCTGAGGGTACTGGAGATATTTGAGGTGGAGGAGACGTATGCGCCACGCTACCAGGTGGTAACTGTGAAGAATGGGAAGGAATGTCAGATTAAACTGTTCAACCACGACGAGCCGGGTGGAGTTCCATTCTTCACAAGGCAGCACGAGTTGGTCGTACCGGGGAAAAGGATTGCGATGGCGGATTGGAGTCTGGACGAGAACCGGGCGCTCAATACGAAGGACAAGGGGAAAGGACGGGCCAGGCGCTAACGTTGTTGCTTGCTATTGGAATTCCCGTGCGATCTTTTGGATGAAGGATGGGATTCCTGCTTGTAGGTCGGATATCATATTGTCTTTCATACTGTACCAAATATGACACGTGAGAGCACGTGAATCTAGGTTTCTTCCAACCCATGGGTATGTAGTGAGCCCGCGACTCCTCTCTTTGCAGTTTCTAGCAAGGAAAGGGCTTTGAAGGACGATTCACGACATTTGGGATTCCGCTGTTGCTGAGAGCTTTGCAGACAATATGTGTTGGGTCGGAGAGGGATGTTCGGGGAACGAAGAAGGGTTCCGGCGGGGCGAGCAGGGTTCCGCGTGGATTTGGTCATACATCGGCCATACAACGCCGGCGGGAAAGCTGGGGTCTTTCCTGGGGAAGCGACGGATTCAGGGTCTAAATCAACATCGCAACTTCTTCATGTTCTCCCACAAGGTCGGATCTTTGTTTAGTTGAACACGTGTGGCTGTGGGGTAATTTCCAAGAGGGAAACTTCAAGGAAATTTGGAGAGAACATGGGCATGCCAGGATCCAACCTTCGCGGTCTTAGAATGGCTGGTATAAACCTCACGGTGGGGGGCAACTCTCACCGTGACGAGCTCTCCTCAGAACTGTCAACCTCAACACCCCACACCTTGCACTGCGCACCAGTTTTCTGGCAGAGACATTATGGGCCAACGATTCTCCGAGTTCCTCCCGCCAAAGACGAAATGGCTACCAGCCGAAATGCCAGACATGACCGGAAAGGTAGCCATCGTCACCGGTGGCAACACCGGAATTGGCAAAGTGACGTGCAAGGTATGTAGGTCGAAATCCCTCCTTGTCCCTGTGGTGCTGAACTGTGCTTAGTACCTGCTGCTCAAGAACTGCACCGTCTACCTCTTCTGCCGTTCTGCAGCCAAAGCCCAGGCCGCGATCTCAGAACTCAAAGCCCAAACGGGGAAAAAAGCCCACTTCATCCCGTTCGACCTCGCCGATCTCCATTCTATCAAGTCAGCAGCCAGCGTCTTCCTAGAGAAAGAACAACGTCTGGATGTACTCTTTAATAATGCGGGATTCATGCATGTTCCTATTGCGGAGGTGACGAAGCAGGGGTATGATATGGCTTTTGGGTGTATGGTGCTCGGTAGGTTTTTCACGAGAGTTGCTGCTCGAAACCATGATGCTGATATTACGAAGGTCATGCATACCTGACGTTTCTCCTCCTTCCTCTGCTAACGAGCACCGCCAAATCCTTCGGTTCCGCACGAGTTGTAACACTCAGCTCGAACGGGCACCTAGATGCCCCTAAGGGGGGGATCGACTATTCCACGCTGAAAGAGGGACCCGTAAGACTGAAGAAACTGAACGGCTGGACCGCATACATGCAAGCCAAGTGGGGGGATGTGGTATTTGCTAAAGAGCTGGCGCGGAGGTACGGCGCGGAAAGGATCGTCTCGACGTCTTTGAATCCAGGTCAGATCTTTCTCTCCCAAAAGCGGAGAAACTGACGAGAGAGAGAGTGCAGGGGTGATCGCAGCCGAGCTCGCAAGGCATCTGACAGTCGTTCCCATTTTCGCGAGGCTTATCGCCTTCCCCGCCGACCCTCTAGGAGCAGTGACCCAGCTATATGCGGGCACCGCACCCGAGGCAGCGTCCCTGAACGGGCAGGTATGATATCCCCCAAACTCTCGTGGTAAACCGGACTGACGAGTGTAGTATTTCATCCCTTGGGCGAGGCCGGTCCTGCACGGGCGGATACGGATGATCTTGCTTTGGGGAAAGCGTTGTGGGAATGGCTGGAAGAGCAGGTGAAAGATGTTTGAGGTCACTCCGGAGACTCGGCACATCGTTTTTTTTACCTCTCGTGATGGGGTGCACTTCATGTTCGTCAGGAATTACTGTAATGGCAGCAGGGACGCATACCATCCAGACCAGCGAGTAAGAGCTAGGAAACGAGGTAACTGATAACCCACGACCGAACTTGCGCCAAGCATCGCAACCAGTTCTGCAGGTGTGAATGCAGTATTAGTATTTCTAGGAAAGACATCTATAAGTACACCGAGATTCTAAACCGAAGCGCGCGCATATAAGTCCTAAACAGACCCTCAAGCACGCATATATGCCCCCCTCACCGCCCCTCCCGCATCAAGCAATCAATACACATACTGCGGCTTCTCCGTATACTGCCACCTCTGCACCCTATCCCTGATCTCCTGCACGTCCTTCAACAGTTGCTCGTTCCCCTCCTTGAGCCACTTCACATACTCGACCGCTCGGAAGAGCGTGCCAGCCTTCCCCTGCTTTTTCCCTCCCCCTCTTGCGCGTCCCTTCTTCCCCTTCACCTGCCCGCCAAAGATCATATCCCGTGTCATACCGCTCGCTCCTCGGAGGGTAGAATTGCTCCCCGGCCCAGCTTCAGGTCCTTCAAGTAAGAGCGAAAGAAGGGCGTAAGACTGGCGAATTTGGTTCCGTCTCCGCTGTTCGGAGAGAATGTGGTTCTCCCGCTTTTGGGTGTTGGACAGTACGGGCCTGTGCATCGGTTGCTGGGGGGTAGAGGAAGAGAGGGAGGTAAGACTCGAGATTGGGGGAAGGGCAGGTGCGGGCGCGTTTGGCGGGAGAGGGGGAAGGGTCACTCCAGATGTGTACCCTTGACCTGTGGGCGCGTCGGGTGGCGGGGCACCCCACCCAGAAGGATAAGGGTGCATCCCAAATTCTCCACTATGCATCGAATACTGCACTCCTTGGGCAGCGACGTTTTCCCCACCAGGAAAAGCAGATCCAGACCCAAAGTTGTCAGAAAGGAAAGACATAAAGTGGTCTTGTTCTGTTGTGCTGAGGAGCTGGTCGGCAGAGGTGGGCGCGCCTGTTGGGGGTGCGGACGGGGTGACGGGCGAGAGATGCGGTGCGGGAGGATGGGACAGCGGGAAGTCGCTGAAGTTGTACGAGGGCTCGAGGGAGTTCATTCCCGTGATGAAGGTGGGACTTGTAGATTGCGGGCTGGGGGCGTTGGGTTAAGTAGGTGATAGGCTGTGGTGGTAGTGGTAGTGGTGGTGGTGGTATTAGTGTAAAGAGGAGAAGGGGTCGAGAGGGGACGTCGAGGCTTTTCGAGTTTCGTGGGCTGCTGGCAGGGGGATGGTGTGGATGGGGGAATGCGGCTTCCGCTCTCCACGCGGAGGTAAAAGAAGGACGTGTGGCAGTGCTACTCTTCTCGTGATTTCGCAAAGGAAGACATCAGGAGTGAGAACATCGTCCTTCTTATCGTGCTCTTCCGCTCTGCTCCTCGGACGAGGCGCTAGATATTATAGTACCAACAATAAGAAGTTCGGTTGCGATGTCGAGATCAGCCTGAATTTGACGTTCCCCAGCACATTATAATACATCAGGGTCAGCTTGAGAAAATCGGGCCACGTTCCATAATGCCAGCATACGCTGACAAAGTGGGACGATCACACCGAGCTAATGTATTAAAGTCCGGCCAAATTGAATATAATAGACAAATATATACAATCCTCCCACCGATGTGTCGTATCACATGTTCGGTTGTCTTCTTGAGCGCTCAGAAATCCTTCACTTGCTCCTGGATCCATTCCCAGAGCGCTTTGCCTGCTGCTTCGTCTTCTGTATCTTTTCTTGCCGTCGCCGGACGAGCCCAGGGGATCAGGTACTGCACATCTGTAAGCATTGAACGTCCTGGACTGGAGAGCAACATACTTGGCCATTCAGCGACTGCGCCTCTGGAGCTGTACCCGCATACAACTGGGTGATCGCTCCGTACGGATCTGCGTCATACGCCGTCGCCTTGACCAACCATGTCAACGGCGCAGACATATACCTCTGCAACTCCGACTTGATCGCTCCTGTTCCCGTTCCTCATCAGTACCCGCCCTCGTCCTGAATCATCGAGCTCACCTGGATTAAGAGAAGTGGAAACGATCCCATCCTTCCCGTACCTCCTTGCCAGCTCTTTGCACCAAACGACATCTCCCCACTTGCTCTGGAAATACGCGCTTGTTGTGCTGAGCTTCTTGCGCGCAGGACCGTCACGCAGCGTCGCGTAGCTGAATCCGCCAGAGGGGGCACCGAGGTGTCCATTCGAGCTTGTTGTCACTATTCGCGCTTGGCCGAATGATTTGGCTGTGGTCTGCAGAAGGGGAAGAAGACGTAGCGTAAGGTACGCGTGACCTGCCAGGATGTTAGCATTCTCTCGCAGAGGAGGGAGAGGAAGAGCGCACCAAGCACATTCGTCCCGAACTGCATATCATACCCCTGCTTCGTCAACATATCCATGGGACACATCATCACCCCCGCATTACAGAACAGGACATCTAGTCTCTGTTCCTTGGCCAAGAACTCCTCTGCGCACGCCTTGATCGCGGACAGGTCGGACAGGTCGCAGGAGACGAAAAGCGCTTCTTTTCCCGTTTGTTGTTTGAGGTCCGCGATGGCGGCGAGGGCTTTGGACTCGGACCGACAGAAGAGGTACACTTTGGCGTTCTTTAGCAGGAGGTACTGTACACGGGTCAGCTATGCACCGTGCGAGGCAAGGAGACGCACCTTGCACGTCACTTTCCCGATACCGGTGTTGCCCCCGGTGACGACAGCGACCTTGCCCGTCATGTCCGGCATGTTCTCGGGCAGCCATCTAGGCTTTGGAGGGAAGATCTCGGAGATTGCTTGACCCATTTCGCGAGGCAAGGTAGTACGTTAGTTAGAAAGTCCGTTGATAGTGCAGAAGTGGGTATCGTGTCCATCATGCTCTTATACAAGGTTCACTCTCCTCCCACGCGCGTGTCCATGGGCAGGCGAACCCTTTCAGGCTCAACATCTTCCCACAACACAAGGTATGTTCGACTGAGGACACCAACCTTCCCTTCGCAGGTGTCGAGTTTGCGCCAAGAGTGGCAGTGCAGAACCCTTGCGCAGCCTTAAGGCACCTTTGATTCCATTAGACTATCTATGTAGCCTATATGTATATAGGGACGGATTGGCCTGCGGCAG